TAAGCTGTAAGCAATCCAGGAGACTCTTGGAGAGTGTTGAGGATGATTTCTTAATCCAGGTGACAGCTGGACCACAGAAGCATTACCAGTCCTGTTGCTTATCAACAGGCATGAACTATTAGAGATGACAAAACTAGTGTTAGGTCAGACTGCAGCAATCCTGCTCTGGTGGAATTCAGTCTTGAACACCTCCCCTGTGAAGAAAGGCTGAGAGAGTTGGGGTTCTTCAGCCTGGAGAAGAAAAGGCTTCAGGGAGATCTTACTGCTGCCCTTTAGTTTATAAGAAATACATAGAAAGACTATAGTGATAAGAGAAAGGGCAGTGGTTTTCAACCAAAAAAGAGGCTGGACTTAAATGGAATATACAGAGGATTTTATTTTTTTTTTTTAATTATTAGAATGGTTATGAACAGGGCCAGAGAAGTTGTGGATGCCCCGTGATGGAAGTGTTTGAAGTCAGGAGGACGGGGCTTTGAGCAACCTCATGTAGTAGAAAGTTTCCTGCCCAAGGCAGGGGCTTTGGACTGGATGATCTTAAAAGATCCCTCCCAACCCAAGTCATTCTATGATTCTATGATAAACTGTAAATGTTTTAGATTTTGTGATTTACTTCCATGATGAATGGAATTATTTTTTAAAATGGGGACTTTTTTTCCTTCCCTATTAATGTTTTTATAAGATTATAATGTACTTGTTTTGATGGTGATTAGGATATAAACCAATAAAAACAAGGAAAATCCCATAATGGACCTGCATTCTGGATCCTCCTCAGCTATACACAGGCTCATCCCCAGAAATACTAATTTTTTCATAAACATGGACACAAACACATACACACTCACAGACACACACCCCATTTATTAAGCCCAAACAGCAAAGTGGTTTTATGCCTGAGAAAAAAAAAACTTTCAAATAGATAGCCTATAAATAAATTATATGCTGCCTTTCTGGTTCAGTAAATAGTCTGAAAAAGTGCTCTCAGGAGACATGAATTTGCAGTGTCTCCCCCTTTATGCCACTGAGATGTTAATTCTGCTGGCTAAATTTAATACTTTATTGTCAGTATGGAAATTGCCATCATGAGGGAAGCAATTGTACTTTCTGAATTTCTTTAGGGATCAGGAAATAAATCTGTACAGAAAGAAAACAGCCCCCTATCTCCTCATGTGCAGAAGGAAGCACCAGGTTACTTGACATGAAAAGCATTGGGAACTTGTGCAATGGCCAGTACACAAACCACAAATGAGCCTAGGTAAGTTGGATATGACAAAATAGAAAGCCACACTGAATGTATACTGTAGACATTGCTGTCCTAGGAACTGGGATGCTGTGCTTGGAACAGCCAGCAAGAAAACAGCTCAGGAGCATCTCACAGAGATGAATCCAAATAAAAGCATTCCAGCTCTCCATGGTACACTTGTTTTGGTTCTTGAGTAGTTTAATTCCTAGTCACTTTTGTATTAACAGTGAATCTGAAAGTGCAAAACAAAGCATGTGGCTCCATGACCTACTGGCAGAGCCCGTTCCATCAGAGTGAGAGAAGATGCAACTCCTCATTCCAGAGGCACCTGCATGTAAAAAACATTTCGCAATTTTTCCAGCCATTGCTGGAGGTAGGACAACCTCCTCCCTGTGTAATAAACAGATTTCTCTAGCTGTCTTTTCCCCCCCTGCACACCACAAACATGGCCCAGCAGAAGTGCTTTTCAAGCAGAAACATGCACAGAAGTACTTAATGTTTTGTGTTGCTATACCAAACCCCCATAAATTTATGCTCATGTCATTACTGCTCTCTGTTAGCCTACTGATAGCGAGTTAAAAATACCACACACACCCCATATTAGAACTGATTTCTATTTTTTGTTAAATTCTTGCAGTTGATATAGAAGAAAATTTTATGATGAGCCACATGAGATCCCTCTTGCCTGCACTGTCCTGACAGGAGACTGCAACAGTACCAACAGAAAAACCCTACCAAAGGCATGGCATGCACAGACCAAGACAAATTTGACTGTGTTATGATGGCACCAGTCCTGTATCCCATTTCCTTTCTTCATCTGGTGCTTGGTGTTTCTACACTGGGAATAGATTTGAGCCAGGATCTTTTCTATCAGAGCCTGCATTTATATAAAATCTTGCTGCAATATCCAAAGTCCTAGTTTATACTCCAAGGTACTCCTAACTAAGATTAAACATAAAATATTTATGTTATTTAGATAAAATGTAAAATGATATGCAAGCCATTTCTGCTCTATCCAAATTCCTAATTTATACTCTGAGGTGTCTCTCACTTATATGGAGCTACTTACCATTGATGAAACACGTATTTTTGTAGTAGAAATATGGACATAATCAATGAATAATCTTGCAGGTCTTTGAAAGAACATAAAATTAATGTAATATTAAATAAACAATAACAAAATTCCAACTTATATTCAGTTTGTAAAATCTTTGTCATATGAACCATCTCTTTATTACATACAAGTACCATATTTGTCATTTAAGCTTCTCAGTCTCTATTTTAAAAAGCTTTGTGGAAGGAATTGTCTGGAAACCCCATAAGGTCAACCCCTTCCCAAGCAAAACTAATGAGATTGAGTTTCCCAGTGCCTGTTTGAGGTGAGGAAGTCAGGACATGCACACAGTTTCCTCTTCACTTCTGATAGGCTACCCTGAGAAAATAACATTGCATGAAAACCCAACCTGAGCTATTATGTTAATGTATTTTCAATGTTTGCATAAATAACACAGAGAAATACCTTATATGTGAGACCAGGTGAAGCTTCAGCTGGCAGCCAATGGAGACAGAAACTGCATTAGAAAAAAAGAACTAATCCAAAGCTGCAATCTTGCCAGTATCCTCTCACACTTTTGGAGCAGCACAGACAATACCAAATGCAAACACGCCCCTGCTCACTGCACAGGCCTAGATCATCACAGAGAGGCTGGGATAAGCAGATGAACATTTGGCTAAGGACCAAGGAGCAGATTTACTTTTTTTTAATATTGCAAAGCCAAGACACAATCAAGGTCCCAGAAGGATTTCCAAAAGCGATTAGGAACCCAGGTTCCATTCGTCCTTCTGAAAATCCTGTATGGTAGCAAGTGAACTGCACCACTAAACATCAAAATACCTCTGTGCTCCTGCTGCTTCTGCTAGGGTCCTTGATTTCAGAAGGGCAAAGTCTTTATCATAAAAAGGTTAGAAATGTTTTCCCCTTTTTTAGTTCACCTACCTTCCCCCAAAAATGGCAAAGCTTATCCTCTTCTTGGTTAATAAAATTGTTACTGCCCTATGAACTATTTTAACTGAAACTGTAATATCAATCCCCTGGCTATGGTCACCCAGATCTTTGCTTTAATGAAAACAATTTGGTTTCATTTGATTAAGGTTTACCTAGCATAGAGTTCCCTGCAATGCCTCTCTGATCTGATAGTGCAGAGTTGCAGGGTCTTTTTTTTGGGCAGAAATCCCTTTTGGACTGGTAAATGATGCAGAGGTTGGAGTGTCCATCCTGGTGCCATCAGATGGTGGTGGGCCAAACTCTGCCCTCTCTATTTACACATCTTTACTGACAGGAACTGTGCTGTCCATCTGGGACCTTAGGACTGCTGCTCATATACATTTTGTCCTCAGAAATGTGATACCCATCTATTGCATAAAGACTGCAAAAGAATTGGAGATTTTTATTTTTTTTTACTTTATAGAAGAAAGTGTTCCCTCAATGTGATAAACACTGAGCATGACTTTTGCTCAGGCTGCAAAGACCAAATTATTTAATCATCAGCTATTTAAGTACTTGTTTGTTTTGTCATGAAGTGAAACCTGTGAGCGAGATCGTATTACACATAAAGCGGCTTCTTGCATCCTTAAATATTAATCCTCAAGTAAAAGAAATTAAAGGTAGTCCCAGGGTCACTTTAGTAAGTCTGAGCTGATGCGTCCTACTATCTTGTATCCTACATTAAATGTTCCTTGCCATATCTTTTTGCCAACACCAACGTTATTGCAGCATCTGATTGGCCTTGGCAGAAGGATGGGGATGAGGATGTAAGGGACCCAGTCTTGGGAGGGCACAAGGGCCATTACCAGCCACTGGCAGCAGGGACAGGGCTGGAAAATACAGTCAGCCCTGCAAGGGAGAGGGTTTGCTAAAGACCTGTGGTCTTTAGATGGAGATGATGGGAAGAATTAAGGGAGTTATTGTGAAACGAGAGAAGCCCGGGAAAATGAAAAAAATATGTAAACATGAGGTAGGGGAGACTCAAAGTGGAGGAGAAAGAATGGAAGGCCGCAGGGGACTGTGCAAAAAATAGCGCTGCAAAAGGAAGGGCAGGAGCAGGAGCGGCAGGCAGGAAGCTACGGGAAGGGAAGGGAAAGGAAGGGAAGGGAAGGGAAGGGGCCGGGGCTGGGGTGTGCGGGCACAGGCAGCGGACCAGGTGCGTGGAGCGGGGAGCCGAGACGGGATGGGGCTGGCAGAGAGCGAGGGCTGAGGGATGCGCTGAGTCTCGCCCAGCGCCTGGTACCGCCGGTGCCGGCGCCCCGAAGCGCGGGAGCGAAGAACGCAGTCCCGCCCCGTGTACCTGGCCCGGGGCTCCGCTCTCTGACTGGCGGGAGCCCCTGCGGTGCGGGGCTGGCCCGGCCTCGGAGCCCCTCGGCTGCTCCAGGCGCCTCCGCTGCCCTGGGACAGCGCTGGCGCTCGGAACGGCCCGGCCGCCGCCGGCTGCGGAGGGCGCCCGGCCAGGAGGCGGAGATGCGGCCGGGGCCGAGCGAGGCGCTCGCCCTCACGGCAGCGGGCCCGGGGCTGGGGCCGCCCGCTCCGACAGGCGCCGCCCGCCCGGGCGGGTCCGGAGCCGCCCCCTCCTTCTCCCCGCAGCGCATTCGCCGCGGGGGCCCCCCTCCAGTGACGTCAGCGCCGCCTAAAAATGCGCCCCGGCAGGCAGGCAGGAGAGCGAGCTGGACAGCGGCGACAGCAGCAGCGGGCCCCGCCGCCGCCGACATGGTGTCCCCGGTCACCGTGGTGAGTGCGGGCCGCGGGCGGG